AATGGAACCGCTCCGTCACTTGCAGCTCGATCTCCTTCTTCTTCAATCTCTCGAACACTTCCCTCAGCATTATGTCCCCGATCTCCTTCACCTCCATCTTCGTCAGTTGTCTGAACACGATCATCTCGTCCAGCCTGTTCAGGAACTCCGGTCTGAAGTACTGTTTCAGTTCCTCCGTCACCAGGCTCTTTATTCGGTTGTAGCTGCTGTCTTTCTCATCGCTCTCGAGGTCGAACCCGATCCTTCTTCCTCCTTTCTCGATCACGCTGCTCCCGACGTTCGATGTCATGATCAGGAGCGTGTTCTTGAAATCCACCGTTCTTCCCTTGCTGTCTGTTAGTCTCCCGTCTTCGAGGATTTGAAGCATCATGTTGAAGACGTCCGGATGAGCTTTCTCGATCTCATCGAACAGCACGACTGTGTAGGGACGGCGTCTGACAGCTTCGGTCAACTGCCCGCCCTCCGTGTATCCGACATATCCGGGCGGTGACCCAATGAGTTTCGAGACGGTGTGTCTCTCCATGAACTCGCTCATGTCAAGACGGATCATGGCTTCTTCGGATCCAAAGTAGTATGCGGCCAAAGCTTTCGCAAGTTCCGATTTCCCGACACCAGTGGGACCCGAGAAGATGAAGCTGGCTATCGGGCGATTAGGGTTCTTGAGTCCAACACGGGCACGCCTTATGGCTCGGCTGATGGCTTTTACAGCTTCGTCTTGCCCGACGACACGTTTATGGAGTGTCTCTTCCATCTTGAGCAACCGATCAGACTCGTCGGTCGAAACTTTCTCCACGGGAATACCTGTCCACGAAGACACGATATGTTGAATGTCCGATTCCGTCACGAGGGGACCTCCATCTCCCGTTTCGCTCTCAGCTTTGCTCATCTCCTTGCCTTTGGCTTGGATAGCAGATACCTCGGCTCTTAATTCGATTTCCCGATCACGAAGCGTCCCAGCCTATGCGAAAATTCACGTTCTCGTAAGACACGATAACGTTTTCAGGCTAAACATCCGAGAAGAGGGTATGTACCTTCTCAAAGTCCTGACCGCGAACGGCTTCGTTTTTCTCCTTAGTGATCTGCCTGAGCTCCTTCTCGAGCTCTTTTGCTTCCTCGGGAACCTGCATAAACGAGAGAGAGCAAGTCGATGATAACAACAGGCACGGAAAGAGATAACATTACAGGCAGACAACCCGGATATATAAATAGCTCCAATACCTGTGCATGACGGAGTCGAACCCGAGAACCAGCTTCATCGATCAAGTCGATGGCCTTGTCGGGAAGGAAACGATCGCTGGAACCAAGGAACAGCAAGATTCAAGAATCAATTAGGGAACCCCTCAGGCTGAAAAAATAATCTTTCAAATAACAATACCTGATGTATTGGTAGGACAATTGTGCAGCTGCCACTAAAGCCTCGTCAGTGTAACGAAGCTTGTGATGGATCTCGTATCGCTCTCGTAGCCCTTTTAGGATCTGAATAGTTTCGTCGACGGACGGTTCAGGCACTTTCACTGGCTGGAATCTTCTTTCCAAGGCAGGGTCTTTCTCAATATGCTTCCTGTATTCGTCTAATGTTGTTGCCCCGATACACTGAAGAGATCAACAAAATTTTCTAAACGATGAACTCGATAAATTTCAAGGAAAGGGTCGTGGAAAATCGAATGGAACGGATTAATTTTACCTGTAATTCACCTCTAGCAAGAGCTGGCTTTAGAATGTTAGCAGCATCGATTGCACCTTCTGCTGCTCCAGCTCCGATCAAGGTGTGAACTTCATCGATGAATAAGATTATCTCATCGCTCTGTTTGATCTCCTCCATCAATTTTTTCAACCTCTCTTCAAATTCTCCACGGTATTTGGTTCCAGCAACAAGAAGACCCATGTCGAGGGTGATAACCTGGATGTACAGACAAAAGAAATACTCAGGCAATATCAGATCGCCATTGTCTTTTAACACTCTCCAGCATTGTGACAGGAAGTATATTGCCCTTATTACAAGGCTAAGGAAAGGGGTCAAGCATCGAGCTTTACCTTCTTCCCCTCAATGGTTTCGGGAACATCCCCACTCGAAATGCGCTGAGCAAGTCCTTCGGCAATGGCTGTTTTTCCGACACCAGGTTCTCCGATAAGACATGGGTTGTTCTTGGTTCTCCTGCCAAGGATTTGTACGACGCGTTCTATCTGTTGCTGCCTTCCGACAACTGGGTCCAATTTACCCTACGAGCGAACCAAAAGACAACAACATAAGCACAAGTTCAAAAATAGATATTGTCCTGACAAGGAATTGTCTTTCGATAAATAGATTTCTACCTCCTCCGCTAGTTTCGTCAAGTTCGTTCCATACTCTTCAAGTGTCGGCATCTTATTGCCACTGCTTCCTCCCCCAACATTAGCTGTGACCTCATTGTTCTCACCAACCATGCGTATAACCTATTTTTTTAATTAAATTCACTCGAGTTTATCGATATTGTCTACAAAATCAAGTCTAAGGATTAATGAATGTAATCAGGAAAGATTTATACTCCACCTGCGTGCGAATATTACTAGGATCCGCACCTAAGTTCTCAAGTACACGAGCTGCCACACCTTCACCCTCACGTAGCAACCCAAGAAGAAGGTGCTCAGATCCGATGTAATTATGGCCTGATATTGCCAACCGGGGGGAATAGTTAACACAAGGAAAGAGTTACACAAAACTTAAAAGATTCATGAAATGAAAGTCAATAACTTGCAGAGAGAATAGGAGACTTACCAAGTTGACGGGCCTCTTCTAGGGATAGTTCAAGAACACGTTTTGCACGAGGAGTAAAGGGGATTTCAACAGCAACGAATCCACTGCCCCTACCGATAATCTTCTCTACCTCCACCCTTGCGTCTTTCAGGTTGATCCCCATGGATTTCAGAACTTTAGCAGCAATTCCAGTACCCTCACCAATGAGACCCAGAAGGATTTGTTCAGTTCCCACAAAATTGTGGCCCAGCCTTCTAGCTTCCTCTTGGGCGAGCATAATAACTTTGATAGCTTTTTCAGTAAACCTTTCAAACATGGCTGTTGGCGTGGAACGGGTGGGCTTTCCTCTTCCGGAAGTCATTGCAAGCCGAATCTTAGAATGGAAATCTTGGTGTGATCTTCCGAGAGTATCCAGCACGTTCTGTCCACGTAAGCCCAGGAACCCTTGTATTCTCAACCCAGGTGACAGCACCTGGCTAGACATCATCCTTGGTGACGACCTTCTTGACCTTCCAGATTCGCGAGATGGTATATTCCTCTGGTAGCAAGCTAGAGATGGCGGAGTAGATTGAGCCAGCACCCTTGTAGCCATGGCCATGATGCTCTGTAGTTTGGAGAACAGTTTTAGCCAAATCATTAAAACAGCCAATAAACCAACACTCCAGAAAAAGAAATCCCAGCCTAAACTGATCAAATAATATGCAATCGATCTATGCACAGAAGCACAAAAATTGGAAGGGGCAATTCCACGCAGAAATGCAAAAGATATTCAACCCCACCACACATTGAAAAGCAAAGTGAACATCAGATAAATCAAAGAACAGAACTCGCATAAGCTAATAAGCTCACTACGAATCTACGATCTACCAACCACGATCAGAGAAGCTTCACTGGAGCTACTGCCCCTACTGAATAGTCTAGAGGACCGAGAAAACTGAACACCGAATTCCGACCAATTCACACTAAATGAAAATCAACGAGTAAGGTTCACGTCAGAGGTACTGTACTACTGTATCGGAGCGAATGGATAAGAACCAGTAAACTTCAGCTCGGACATACTGATATACTCATTTACGTTAGCCAAACAAGCCCAGAGCTTATGGGTAACAAAAAAGCTATAATTATGTTGCTCAAGTGGCAATATGGAACACCGACATACATGAACAAACCGAATCAAACACGAGAATTCTCTGAGATATCGCATTCAAAAGCCTACGCGAAACAAGACAATCCGATACTACGATCCGGAAATTCAAAATCAAAACGAATTCCAGCTAAACAGAAGAACAAATGAACAGAAAACCCTAACTTCTACGAACGCCATGCATCAAACTTCCCAAAATTCGTTTAACACCATCGCAGACGATCAAAGCAATTCATCGCGGAGAACCTCGCACGAAAAATCCAAGGGAACAAAAAGCCTGACCTGAATCGACGGGAACACAACAATGGAAACAAAAGAGAAAAATGAAGAACAGAGAGAGAGAGAGAGGAACGAATAGATGGATATGGTGATTTCAGGCCATATCTTTCTCTTCGGTTCGATTTTTTTCTTTTTCTTTTTGTTAGACGCTTATCATTTATCATACGGTGCACCGCCACGCACGCTAACATACTTCCAAGCCTTCTCGAAGGCAAATATCACCCGATAACCGACTCCCTTACCGGTTCGGTTTAGGTCATATGCCGGACCTTAACCGACCAATCCATCGTACCAACCATTTGAATTTCGTGAATCATGAACCGTTGGAATGTTAATGTTTATTTTCCCAAAATAATAATAAAATTATTAAATTACTAAACTGGAAAACATCCAAAAACACATAAACTCTAATGTAATTCCCCAAAAAATTATGTATTTGTATTGTTTATGTGTCATTATATATTTAAACACGTTTAACTTGTAAAATCATTGTAAATAACCGTTTTCAATATAAATTCGATGTATCTAACTGTTTTCAACATCAATTTTCATTTCGTCTGTAATATATATAGTTCAACAATAATTATCTTGCACTGAAGACTTTTATAACAAATCAATAAATAAAGAGTTTAAGAACACAACAAATAGCAAATTGAAATTTACACATATTTTAATATATTTTCAGTGCCTTTTGGTAATTCCATGTATTTTATGGAATATTTCCAAATTTGGAGAAGAAAAATAATGACGTAGATGTTTGTCAACCTCTTATAGTTTTCTAACTATCTAGAATATTAAAGCTATAAATGGTGACAGTTTTTTTTTTTGTTTCGGTTTATTGATTTAGTTTTTGGATTTTGGTTTTTGGGTTTCATAGTTTTTTATAGTTTTTATAAAACATGAGAATCCAAAAAAATCGATTTATAGTTTTGCTTGATTTTTTTAATAAAATGCATTTTCCGGTTTTTAGCAAAAGATTAATATACAAAATCTTGACAGAATTTCATTTTGGTTTTTAGATTCGGAAATCCAGAAAAATTCTAACCATTCGATGTCTAAATAAATTTAGGGAAAAACATTTGACTAAGTATCTAGCCGAAACCAAAAAGGAATTTAATAACTTTTGCCCCCCACCCCCCAAAATATTTATATTGCATAAATATATATAATAGAACTCTAAAATATATATATAAAAAATTCCTAATAAAAATAATCTAAGGTTTATCTTCGGATTAAATTGAAACAAAGCACTGATTTCCTCTCCATGATGCATGGCCGAAAATACATATCCAAATGGTATGTGTTCTTTGTGTATACATATCCAAATGTCAATAGAAATAGTAAAATTTACATTTTAATAGATAATCAGATCATAAAAATTTTGTAACAATCTTATTATTATTACAAGAATATATTATGGATCAGAAATCCTTATTAAAGGTATGAATATTATCTATAATAAAAAATTAGAATATCTTTATATATATATAATGGATTTTTTATGTCAAAAGACTGATTTGATAATCATATAGAACAATATAGATAAGTAGATTTATATAGGTCCGTTTTCGTTTATATTATTTTCTAGTTGAAAAACTCTCATTTATTTGTATATTAGATTTCGAATCTAATTCAATATAAATTTAATTTGAATTTTGATTCCATTAAAAATATATTTATTTTCTAAAAAAATTTGTTGAATTTGATTGTCCATCGAGAATAAGTTTTTGAGAAAAAAAAATAACAAGTTGCACGAATTTGGATCAATGAATTGGTCCGGTTCAGTCGGATTTTACCATATGGATTGGGTTATAAATAGGCCAACTAAGATTTACAGCGATGTAAAAATCAAAAGCCCATATGAGGCCCATATAAGCCCATGTATAGTATTATGAATAGTTTTCAACCTTCTTTAAAAAAATAAATTTAATTATTTGATTAAAACGGATATTTCATCCTCTTGTACAAAAAATAGCATTGAGAATTTTAAAACTACGATTTATTTATTTATTTATTTATTGTTAAAGTTAAAACCACGATTTATTGAGAATTTTAATTTGTTTTTCGTTTAACCAATTTTTTTTTTTTGTATATAAATTTGAGTGACCTCAAAAAGTGGGCAAAGCTTCATTTACTGATGTCTGAAAAGCTCACGGGGTAACACAAGGAATAATTATGGCTTTTTTGTTTTTTCTATTATTATATTTGTACTTTTATTTTTGTTTATTTATTTATATAAATATATTATTCTTCCTGAGCTTAAAAGAGAACAAATTCACAGAGTTATTTAATATATCCTGTCTTGTCTTATTTAATCAATACAACCTCTAACATATCTTACGTGCATGTGGTCCAGTAATAAATTTCAACTCGCTATAAAATTAAAATCTATTTTCCTATTTTATATATATATATATATACACAATTTATATATACATTTTCTATCTCTAACTCTCCAGGAAATTGATTCAATAGACGAATAACGTACCGATGATGAAACCCTTTATTTAGTTTGTTTATTTATTCACCTAACTAATTAATCACGTTTTAGAAGGATGACCAAAGACTAATTAATTACACTGATTACGAGAAAATAGTTTGTTGAAGGAAATGATTAGAATAGAGCGTGATGATTGTCTTTGGTACTTTTACATAGTGGAAATGATTGAAGAATCACGCAACTCTTGAGACCAAAAGAAAAATGTATAACCTTTTTTTATTTTATTTTATTTTTTTCACTAAAAGAAGATACACGTATTTCCCTTATTCTCCGATTTTAGATTCCAAGTATGTAATTTGATAGAAAAATATCCGATTATCGGATAACGAGTCGAATATCTAAACAATGAGTACATAGATCGGTTATCCTGATTTTTTGAGATATCTTAGTTCGTTTTTGCTTTTACCGGTTTTAAAAAAATGTTATCTCGTTTTCTTTTTCTTTTTTGTAAAGTTCAGATACCGTAGTTTGGATATCCGATAACTAACTCAATTATCCGAGGATATTTGCTCCCTTTGGTATTTTACGTGCATTTTTACGTGAACCACTACGTGTATTCTTACGTGAACCTAACTCATTAAAATATTGAAAAAACAATTTACTTTTATTGATTTCAGAAATATTTTGATAATTTTATTTGAAAGTATATTTAGATATGATTATAAATGCATTAAAACATGAAGGATACAAATGTTATTTTATTCATATACGGTATCCGTGGTAACCCATACGTCGTCCAAACTTGTCTAAAGATTTTTATCCTCGTCGGTCAAATCATTCGTATATATCTCGACTTTTTGAATAATCCAAGTGTAATAACAATGGATTTTGGATCTCAAGATCCGATAGATTCGATAGGGTTAGATATTCCAAAATCTTGAATATACGACCGATAAGATATAAAAGGCAAAATATACTTTTTTATATACATAAACTAATAATTATCATATTATATACAAGGTTCAAAAGTGATTAGAGAAAAAAAAAAAGTTATAGAATTGGGCGGCATAGGTGCGGTATGACACTGAAAATTTATTTTTTACATAAAGCGATCACGAGATTCTTGGGACTCTCCTCCTTACCCACATTTCAGATAATGCATATATATTAATTTCAACAAGATACACATGCATATATATATATATACACACATATATGTGTGTGTATAAACATGCATGTATGTACGTGGACGTATCTTGAAAACGTATGTCTCCAACGTGCTTACCAACCACAGTTCTTGTTTATGTATCATGCAACTAGAAAAGTATACCTATATGGTGTGTATATATCCTTTATTTAAATTAATTTATTTAAAATTAATAAATGTTGTTATTAATTAATTAATATATTTCTAATTTACCAAAAAAATAATTAACATGTTTCTAATAAAACTAACCTAGTATTCTTTATGTTAAACTATATTATTAATATATATCATCCGTTCTTAAAATTTCTACGATGTGGAATATGGAATTATTTCTATGGATGGAAAAGAATTATAACGATCATTATAAATTCTTTAGAAAATTATATTTTTTAGTGACATATATAAAACAATTTATTCAACAAATTTGATGTATCATATGGACATATGTAGATACACAAAAAGACAACGAATCCAAGTTCCTTAGAAACATAAATTCTTTAGTGTATGGTAATATGTAACAAAGCTAAAAACAGTTAATATTTTTTTTACACGTGATAGTGACAGTGAAGATATGAATATTCAGAGGGGGGGGGGGGG